AAAATAAATAAAATCTTTAAAAAAAAAAAAAATATGTATTTATAGAGAAAAATTTATTTTATAGAATTGGCTCTGATTGTGGGGGCTGGTAAGGCTGATATCTGCAAAGCAAGCCAGCAGGCTGGAGACCCAGGGAACAGTTGATGTTACAGTTCAAGTCCAAAGGCTGTCTAGAGGCAGAATTCCTTCTCCCGCAGGTGACCTCAGTCTCTTCTCTCTTAAGGCCTTCAGCTGATTGGATGAGGCCCACCCACATTATGGAGGGTAATCTGCCTTACTCCAAGTTTATTGATTTAAATGTTAATCACATCTGAAAAATACTATCACAGCAACATCTGGACTGGTATTTGACTAAAAAGTGGATACCATGGCTTAGCCAAGTTGACACACAAAATTAACCAACACAGTCTCAAAGCCTAAAATATTTACTATGTGAACCTTTACAGAAAGTTTGCCTACCACTGAATGAGCCACATGGTACCCCCCCATGCTCAGCTCACAGTCTGGTCCTCCTGTGTGCAGCCACTGCTCAGAGCTCAAGTTGGGCTGCCTTCTTCCCACTCCTGCTCCAGGTACTGGTCAGCCAGGTGGCTTTAAAGAATCCCTCACCTGCTAAAGGTTCTGCACAGCGACTGAGCCCTGTGGCCACTAGACACCTCCCTGTGGGTTGGGTTACTCAGACCATTCAGAGTCCACTGGGTGGGGCTTTTTCATCTTGAGTAGAGATCTGGATGAGCCAGGAGGCAAGAGAGGCAGGTGACCCCAGGATAGCTCCTGCTCAGGGATGATGGCACTCTGACCCTGCCTCTGGCTCCCTGTGCCAAATGGACTCCCAGCCCTTGGCTGAGCTGCCTCTGTTGCAGTTGGCCGGGTTTCTGTCTCCTCTTGGCAGGGATGTACTACATAGTTACCTTGACCCTTAGGAGCTTCCAGAAGAGACCCTCTCTCAAAGACAGCCCCCACTCTGAGTGTGAACTGTGGCTATCACAGGCCAGTCGTGAGGGCAGGATGAAAGCAGTGACTTCAGGGCTTTTGCAAGAACCAAGAAAGAGTGTGTATGAGGATCCTAGCACAGCCAGCCTCCCGGGAAGGACTGACTCCTGTGAGATGACCTTGTTGCTTTCTGCTCTTCCCTGCTAGCCTAGGGCGGTAGAGACCAGCGAGCAGGTCAGAAAGCTCAGCAGGTTTGGATTCATTGGGTGCCGGTGCCCCTCCAGGCGTCCACAGGTGTCATCTCTCTATATCCACACCAGAATCCTGCACAGAGGTAAACCAGGGCTCCAGACATGACTGCAGAGCTGGGATTGGAAGCTTGCCTGTCTCCCCGCAGTCATCATGGAGTCCTAGGAGGTGTACTGGGCTCTAGCCTCAGTCCTCCTCAGTCCTAGGAGGTGTACTGGGCAGCCTCAGTCCTGCCTCAGGCAGGGCAGCCCTATGCCTTGCAGGGGAGATACAGTCCTGGTCCCCATGATTGGTCTGGATCCTTGTGGGGAGACACGAGGAAACAAGGCCCTACTCTGCTAGGCGGGGGGTCGGCCCAGAGCCTGGGGAGCAGCAGCCGCCTAGTTCAGCTACACAGCGCAACACCCACCCCCTCGCTGAGGAGGGCTCTGGCCTATGGGAAGTGGACCTTGGGGTGCTGTCTTCCTGGGACTGCCTGGCTCTGTCCGGTGGCCTCCCCGTCCACGTTCCCATTGCTCTGTTGCTCCAGCACCAGGACTGAGAACACAGGGCTCAGTTTTGCCAATGCAAATGCACACTTCTTTCTTTCAGGGTCGGGCCCCATCCGTGTGCTGGCCCTGTGACGGCCGCGCAGAGTAGAGACCCAGGCTTGTGGCCCCGGGATCAGCCCTGTGACTGCTGGAGTTCCTCTCTAATACATCTGCCTCCAGATGCTGCCGGCACAATGCATTTATCACAGTCATGGCTGCCTTACAGCAACCCTCTGAGGAAGGGACCGTGAAACCTACTTTTTAGTGATGAAAACTGAGTCTTGTAGATTTCAGGTGATAGAAAACTAGAGAGCCATGTTTTCCAAAAATATTTATTAACAGGAAAATTTTCACCATATAATACAGTGGGAAAAGTATATCTCAAAGCAATTAATATAGTACAGTATGATCCCAATTTTGTAAAAATACCTATCATGTAAACATATGTTTATATGTATATCCTAAAAGCCTACAAATAAATTCATCAAAATATTAATAGCATGTTTATCTGAGTCGTAGGACTATGCGATTTGAATTATTTTTTTCCTAAACCTCCTCCATAATTGCATTACTTTTATAGTAAAGGAAAAACACATTTTTTAAAAAAGTGAGTCAAGTACTTGCAAAGGCCTTCTCATAAGTAGTAAAACCAGGATGGACAATCCCCCGTTCAAATTGCTGAAAGAGGCACATGGGGTGTTGAGCGCCAGCAGGCCTCTGGGGTCCCCGTGTCTCTGGGAACACAGGGCAAAGTGCCACAGCCCTGGCCACAGCTGGATAACCGGGCACTCGCTTCCAGCCTTTAAAGCACGTGAGAATGCAAGTCCTGCCCTCAAAGGACTGCCATGTGTAGGTTTTTTAGGAAAAAGCACAGCTCTGAAATAAATACACCATCACCCACAGAACACATTCTGGGAGGAGGGTTAGTGGACAAGCTCGGAATGGGCTCAAAATCAGCAAATTCATTTGTAATAATACCACCAGGTACCAGATGTTAAGCATTTATATGCCAGACATTGTCCTAAATGTTTTTGTCCATATCTGATTTTTATAATAGCTCAGAAGGAAAGGACCAATGTCCTGCTCCATAGAGGAAGAAGAACCAGGATTCAAATCCATTTGGCTCTAAGAAATCTGTACTCTTGCTATGCTGCCTCTCTTCCTATTTCTTAGGGATTTTTTCCAGAACTTTCTTGCCATAGTTAGAAGGCAGTAAACACCAACATTATGATGACTTGGTCTCGAGAGCAGTATTGTACTACAAATACCAAGACTGTGCGTTTCTCCTTAGCCTCTTTTTCCATGTGTCTTCCCTTCCTGTCAGCTGACATTGATTTCTCATTGCTGTCACTGGGTCTGAACTGACCACCCGTGTTTATCCTTCTAGTCTGGTGCAACCAAATAAACAAGCCATGCCCTGAGCAAGAGAAAGGGAAATGGTGGCATCTGTGCTGCGTCCCTGCCAGCCTGGGCCACCCACTGCAGCTGCTGTGCTTGGCTCAGCAAACATAACTCACGGAATAAAATGCATGGGCTTTGTGACCAGTCACAATTGTTTCACTGCTTGGGGCTCTTTCTATTTGATTTCATTTGGTGACTGGCTGGCTGGCACAAGTTGCTAGAGGTCTGACAGTCAGGTAGGTAGGCGATGACTTACTGTTTTTCAATTGTTCTGCATGAAAAAGGAGGATTGCAAGTCCTGTTCATTCCTGCTGTGCACAGCTTGATTGATCGGGCAGGTGTACTCCATATCTGCAGACCTTTGGGTAATTTACAGACATTCCTGGTGCACCCCCAACTGTGCTGGGCACTAAAGATACCAGGTGAAGTAAAAAATTGGTTCGCAAAATAACTGGCTAATTTAAAATTTACAATTACCCAGAAGACACTTCTTGCTGTTGGGAAGAGAGGACTGTGAGATAAGCACTAGAAGGCCAACAGGTTCCATGTTTGTGCCAACTTGGATTCACGACGGCCACCTGAGCTCCGCATTCAGGGTGATGAGGCTGCATCTGGAGCAGTGTGAGAAAGGGTTGGCAGACACAGATTCCCTGGCTGAAGGCCTTTTGGAGATCAAAAAGTCCCAGGCCTTCATGTTACAAATGGGAAAATAAGCCCCAGAGGAGGAAGCCACCTACAAGTTAGGTCTCCTAACATCTAGGCCAGAGCTCAGATCCATACACTGATGGAGACCTCAACATCTTCCAGTCTGGGCCTGCCCTCTGTGCACATGGGCAGGCTCTCTTCCTCTGCTCACTCCCAGGTCCAGGTAGAGGGGCTGCTGTCCTGCAGTATGGCCCCAGCCTCCACCCCTGCTGCCAGACCTGCTCTCCCGGAGCCCCTCCTCAGGGTGCAGAGTGAATTCCAGAGGTGCGCATCCTTGGACACTCAGCCTTTGGCATCAGCTGGACTGTGCCTGTGGGTTAGGGCGGGCCCAAGATCTGCTT